TCCTTCTCACTGCATCCTGATCGCTTTGAACAAATTATCGTCCTTTCGATAGGTATTCTGGGTCTTCTTTCATTCTCGTCTCCCATTTCTTACCCTACGTCATCGCTACCTCTCTCTTTCTTGTTTTTCCTACATTTCTTTCTCATCTAGCATCTTCGACTCTGTCCTAGCTCTTCTCTCGTCATTCCCAGTCGATCTGTCCTACTACTCTCTCTCTCTCTCTCTCTCTCTCTCTCTCTCTCCGTACCTCCTCCTGTGATAGGCTAGCATCCCTATCTCCGTAGCGTTCTGCTCTTTTTCCTCTCTTCACTTTCTACTTCTATATGTAGTCTGTTTTTTTGTACTACTAGGTGCATCTTTGCGTCGTTACACCTCTCTATTCATCTACTCCCTTTTAATATTCTTCTCCTCATTCTTCCTCTTTTTTTTTATGTCTAAAAAATAACATCTTGGAATATTCAGTCTGGTCCTTAAGTTTTTTTTTTTTTTAATGGAACCTTTGTCAGCTTTTCGATATTTTCAAGAATGAAGACCTCACGCTTCCTGTTAGTTTTAAAATTAAAGCGAAATGGTTTTAGATTGCGGAGTATGAAAAGAAGAAGAAGAAGAAGGAGGAGGAGGAGGAGGAGGAGGAGGAGGAGGAGAAGAACTGGGGGGGGGGAGAAAGAGGGGGAAGAGGAATAAAAGGAGGATGAGGGGGGGGGGGAGACAGTAACTACTATCGCTATCAAAATCATCAACAGCATCGTCATCGTTTTGCTTATCAATGATGATAATGATGATGAGCTATTAAACAAATTTAAACATTTTATATTGTTATTTTATTTTTGTCTAAAATTAAAACAAGACTCTCCCTCCTACCCTGCTTACCAAAAAATGATGATGATGATGATGATGATGATGATGATGATGATGATGATGATGATGATGATGATGAGGATGATGTAATGATGATGCTGATGACCTTGAAACATTGTCACCACGTCTCCCTCGTAGACTTCAGTCAAGCACAATACATGTACCACAAGGCGCTCGGATGCCATCATGTCTCTGTCCACTATTCACATTTCACCGGTGGGTGGTTGGCAGGTGCTCCTTCTTTCCTATGAAACATGTATCGTCCTTATCCCCCGTCCTTCTTTTTTGTGTTTGTTACTCTCTTGTAACACCTCTAATCTTCTGCATTTATATGACCTAATTATGTAACAAGTGCCGTGAAATGCTTACTAAAACAAAACAAAACAAAGCAAAACAACATATTTTACAGGTGAAGTATCCAGACAGGGTTTTCCTTATACGCGGCAACCACGAGACAATCTCCATCAACAGACTCTTTGGCTTTTATGATGAGTGTAAGTTTACAACAGGCTTATTGTACTTTAGTGTACGTTTACAATAGGCTTGTACTTTAATAATAATAATTATTATTATATTGATGATAATAATTATTCTATTATTATCATCATTATCATTATTATTATTATTATTATTATTATTATTATTATTATTATTATTATTATTATTATTATTATTATTATTATATTATTATTATTATTATTATTATTATTATTATTAGCATAGTAGTAGTAGTAGTAGTAGTAGTAGTAGTAGTAGTAGTAGTAGTAGTAGTAGTAGTAGTAGTAGTAGTAGTAGTAGTAGTGGTAGTAGTAGTAGTATAGGGAGGGGAAGCGATAGAGAGTGGAGAGAGATCGTGTTTTAATATGCAGTCTATTCTACCCTTGACGGCCACCTGTCGAAGACAATCATCTGTTCAAGCGACCACTTCCCGCTTCCCCTATACTATAATAATATAATGATACTCTCCAAGACGTTCACTTGTCTATGATAACCACTTTTCTCCTGGACAATGGATGGTCGTGGCGAAAACAGCACCTGGACATGGATTGCTGGTTCCTCTATAAATAAATTATTGATATTGATGAAGGGATAGTCGTCTTGGACAGTTTCGATTTTATCTGTGTCTGTTGCTGTCCACCCAGGCAAACGGCGATATAACAAGAAGGTGTGGAGACGTATAAACGACTGCTTCAACTGTCTGCCATTTGCTGCCGTAGTGGAGGATAAAATCTTTTGTTGTCATGGAGGTGAGTGCTACTGCTGTGTGTGTGTGTGTGTGTGTGTGTGTGTGTATGTGCGTGTGTGTGTGTGTGCGTGCATGTGCGTGTGTGTGTATGTGTGTGTGTGTGTGTGTGTGTGTGTGTATGTGTGGGAGATCTGTGTGGATTCTCCGAGGATCGTTTAAGTTGGGGACTGGGAGAGGGGTGTCGCTGGGCCGCTATCCCCCC